CTCGTCAATGGATTTATTAATTTATAATATAGTGAATATGGCTGAAGATTGTTGCATGGCGGATCCAACATCCGGAACAGTAGCAATTACTCTTAATGGCAAGGACATTACTTTTTTAAAGTATTCCTTGAGATCTATATATCTTTCTTTCACTGATTTCAACATGTAGTGCGTGCGTTTGTCGTCCATAGTAATTTTGGGTCTGTCATTTCACTACATATATTATGAAGTTTATTTCGGGTGTGTTGGCTTATTATATTAGTTCCATTATTATTATATCTGTTGTCATGTTTTCACATTTGTTACCTTACACGGCATTAAGTGCGTCCAATGTATTTCTCATATGAGCACGTAGTGTATATTATTTGTTCGAAAGTTGCAGAACACATTCTAACAAAGAACGTTGACGGGGAATAATCTGACGGGCATGCGATGGAAAGGTGTCGAGCTTCCCGATACACCCTCAGACAGAAAATTGCGTTGATAATACAAAACAATTGATTGACGGTCTTTTCAGCAAAATGTTTTCAAATGTGAATATTGTCACATTGCTAAAAATAAATAATCGACGGCAAAGTTTATCAAACTGGTACAGGCTACAGGTAAACATAAACAAACATTTTATACAGTTTATTTGCATTTTACCTCGATTATGAATTAAATATTGTAGAATATTTGTAGGATTCATAACCTTTATTGTCAATATTCCTTTATTGTATCTTTATAATTGCACTATGTACGAGGTAATAAAATATCTGATTACCATTTACAGGTGTTTTATTCATTTCAATTAGAAAATCGCACAAATAAAAATCAGGTGTCAATCAATCATAGCTATTGTATACTTCCCAGCATAGATATATTTGAAATATAATTCAATTTTTTTATGAAAATCCAGAAATTATTATCCAGAAACTGCGTTGATTATCTAGTTGATATTTGATGAGCACGTACCATGTATTTCTATGTCCCTAACAAATTTGTTCATGTAAACAGTTTGACTTGCTGTTGGCAAATTTGTTTTGGTGAAGTATAGTAATGTGAAATTTACACTCAACATAAAGAGTGTGGTTAATTTTGGTGGAGGAAATTTTGTAAATATACAAAAAATGCGTTGATATATGTTATGTTGGTAACTTGAATATACCTCCATCAGATTTGTTCATTTCGTAACAATATCACAATTCTTATTGTTTTCTTGAAAACAACCAGCCCGATGGCTTTGAAACTTGGTATGTATTTCTACTTCTATCAGATTTGTTCATTTAGTGAAGATACTCGAATATTTATTATCATGTTTAATGAAAAAAAAAATATTTTCGGATTTTTCTACCAGTCCGATTGCTTTGTAGTAAATAGCAAGCTTTATTGCATAGTCGTAACATTGAAGACATCGGTCACTTGTGACTGCATTAATAGCAAGTTTGTGTGTTTGTTAGTTTGAAAACATCTAGAAGACTCGTTGCTGAGTGATTTAAAGACATAGCCAGGGTAAATTGGCTGATTCTGGTGACACAACTGAATAGACCGTGACTGTCACTGGACTGGATAAACCGAGGCAATCGACAGAGCAAAGAACGACTCATCGTGATATCAAGTATCACAGTCAGATCAGCATGTTGTGTAGTTGATTGTGCAAACCAACATTTACAAGATACTATAAATCGCCATCTGATCTAAATACCCATGGGATAATCGAGAGACTACGTGCAGAGAAGACTGCTGAACTTGATCAATTACGTGTGGAACGCCATAATTCCGTCAATTTAGCTGTGAATATTTGATGAGGCGAGTGCAAGTAGCTACCCTAAACTTGATTATCCTGGAGAAGTGAACTTTATTATAATTGATCGCACAAGCATCGTAAGCGTGATTTTCACTGACATTGTTGTAGGTAATTTGACAAAGAATAGCGGTGCGAGATGATGGTATTGAGGAGAATATTAGATGAAGAATAACTTGGAGCTCGAAGGCATTATTCGACCGTAAAAAATTGTTAAATAACATCACTGGATATTATTATTGCAAGACTCTATGCCAGTATTTGAAAATCTATTTTGAATCTAGACACCAACGTCTCCTAAATTTTGAGATCATTCGAAAACCTGCTCAATTCTAGGATTTTATGTCATGCCATTTTCACCATTTTTGTTAGCTTTTGTTTTGTTTTTGATTGTTTGTTCGTGTGCATTGTATCCATTATCATTGATTCCAATGGCTGTTATGTGATAAATAAGAAAATAATTTTATTTAAGTTGTCACTTGATTATTTATTATATCCGATCGAATTAATTAACGTTTACTTTGTAGAACTTTGCATCAAATTGTGTTAATATTATATTTGCATTGAACTTAGAATCCTATTCATTGCGGTATTTATTTCCTTTGAAGAAACAATCGCACAAATAAGGCATAGTTTTATACTACGAGTATTTTCTGGTATAACTTCCTTTTCAAGCCGGTATCATATTTAATAAATCATAATAAAATAAAAGCATATCATTATTATCAAAACAGATTAACAACTAATGGAATTGGTGATTATTGTGTTAAAATACATTTTTAGATGTTAGGGCGTGGAATAATCAGAAAAAAAAACATTCAGTAAACCTACATTTATACAAGGTATTCAAACTATTTCAAATTTACATTGTATATTTTTTTTTTCAAAATAGGTGATACTTCACAAAAAAGAAACAACCATTCTTAAGAAGTTATATATAATGATTAGGCAGTAAAAGATTAAAATGTATAAAACTGAAATCCAGAGTCAAAACGCTTTTCACTGACAAATTGTATACCGAAATAGTACCATTCTTACTTGAATTACATTTTTACGATAAAGACTTTCCGTTTTCGACATTGTGAAGTTTTTTCGTTTTTATGCCGAAAATACAGTACGAGTAAAACCATATTTAAGTTAATTTTCATATACGAGTTGTTTCTTTCAGTCATAATTCAAGACTTAGAAACTAAATCGTGTCGACGGTGACCAGTCTTGCGTTTGATTGTAAAATGGCTTCAAAGAAGTGGGAATTGTGGGATATCATGGCACCTACCGCCGTGGGAGATTGAGAGTTTTACCGTGACGCGGAGAGTTTTGCCGCGACAAATTAAAGTTATGCCGTGAAGTAATAGTGTGTTTCTGTGAAATAATATAGTTTTGCAGTGAAATAATAGTGTTTTGCCGTCAAATAATAGAGTTTTGCCGTGAAATATTAGAGTTTCGCTGTGAAGTAATAGTGTTTTGCCGTAAAGTAATAGTGTTTTGCCGTGAAGTAATAGTGTTTTGCCGTCAAATAATAAAGTTTTGCCGTGAAATATTAGAGTTTTGCCGCGATGAATTAAATTTATGTTGTCACTTGTGGGCCACTGTATCTGACAGTTGTTTAACATACTTTTGTATTGCTGTGGGACAATCAGGAGGAGGATGGAGTGGTGGAATGAACAAGATATCCAAGAGGATAGTTGCCATGTGCACAGCCTGGCTTGTTTCCAGCTGATTCTTTCCTGACGTTAACGACTTAACGACCATAGATATTATAAAAGTCATCAATGAGTATCAAGTCCAGAGACCTATTTCTTGCCTAAAATAATAACAGAATTAAAACAGGTGTAACAAAGCATAGCATTTGCATATGAAATCTCGCAGTTAGTATAATATCAAATTACTATTATCATTATTCACAATCAATATATTGACAGTATTGTCATTGTATAATATGATAATACTCTTGTAAAGATATGGTCAATATTTTCAAAAATAATGGATATAGTGAAATGAACTTGCAGTGACCTTTTAGCTTAATTCGTACAAATGATATTCTCATCTTTAATTTCAT